GATGATCTTAATGGTCTTTTCCAAAGTAAATTATTCTATCATTCTGTCTCACATAACAGCATTGAATCTGCCCACTAAAGGAGGCTTTTATTATTTTCAAATTCTGTCCATATTTTGCATGTCTCCAGACTTCTGGTCCAGAAGTCCAGCTTGTGTTATTTCTAAGGATTTGTTCTTGACTCTCTCTCCAACTCTTAGATGAACTCATGCCAAACTCCCTGCCACATGTTGCAGCCATTTACCAAATGCTTATAAACATTAGCAGGAATATGCCATACCCATACATACACACACACAAAACCATGCAGAAACTGTGCTTGAGAAAAGCTGTGAAATCAGTGCTGCAAAATAAAACTCAAAATGTGTTATTTTCTCATACAGAGGTTTTTGCATAATATTATATAAATGCTAGTTTTTTAGCATTTGATTTTTTTTATGGCTTCTTAAATCAAAAACAGAACTCCAGATTCATTCACTGTATACAGCAATTTTTCTTAGCTCTACCAAGAAGATGTCATGGCACATACCGTTTAAGGATCCAGCCTAGGAAGTTCAGGATTCACTGGCAGGGTTTGCTGGCTGTTAGGTCTGGTTCTGCTTGACTCCAGGATGATGAATATCTCCTTTTTAATTACATTTCCTAAAAATGCCTTGTTAATTTCTAGTTCAGTAGGAAGAGGGCAAGGCAGACTGTCCATGTAAGCAAAGGACAGCTCTGCTCCCAGCTGGAGTCTTGTAGCTCAGCTGCTACCTCTCCTCCCCACCTAGATTGCATCACTTCCCCAAACACATGGAGACTTCTACCTACAGTTCCCAGAATACTTTGTGGAAGTACTTTGTTAATGAACTGATTTCGCTCTTGTGAAGGAATTGCTAATTGCTGTTATACTCACTTTACAACTACGTTCACTAAGGCCCTGGAGGAAAGCAATTTCCTCAGTCTTCCCAAGCAGAGTGAGAATACCAGGGACTGAGCCCACCCTGGCAACTATTGCCCACCATAAATCCCTACTATCTTTCAGGGTAGTCCTCAGCACTATAAAGTATCTGGCCCAAGGGAGGCCAAGGAAAAGCAGCACACTCAGCACAGCATCCCAAGAAGGTCCCAGCTGGAGTCAGTTGCCTGCTCCAATCACCCTCAACTCCTGCTGCATGCAAAGCTGATAATGACATAGCTAATAGCTAATTACAAAGAGAGGAAAGGAAAAATGGTGAATCCGAGCAGAATTCATGAAATCAAGTGCCAGTAAAATGCAGTATGTGTACAAAATAATAGTTTGGTTCCTGGCTACCTGCTGTGTTCAAGTTAAACAAAAGACAAAGTATTATCTGCAGCTTGTATTTGTGAAGACAACTGTTTCCTATTATAGGATAAAATTGCGACAGTTTATTTTAGTTAATTAGTATCTTACTTGTTCTAGTACGTTAAAAGTCTAATATGCATATAAATTGATGTTGCATCTTTGGACAAATTGCACTATAAATATTATATTGTAAGAGAAGAAGGAAATGTGTGAGCACTGCACTGTCGCTCATCAAACTGAATTGAATCTCACACGGCGACTCTGTAATTTACAGTATGGGCATGCTGGTAGTCAGGAGAGACAGTGACAAGTACAGGCAATTTAGGGTTAAAGGTGTATATGGGCCAATTTGTAGCTGTGCTATCCCAGGAGAGACCCAAAGAAGAAATGATGCCTCTGAGACACGTTTCCCTCTGTACTGGCCTACCTCCAGCTGAAAAAGAAGAGCTTCATTCCCCCACCCTGGTCAGTGTGCACATGATGCTCATCCCATTCCTCCCTCCCCAGCAGCTGCTCTGGCTGCTCCCCACAGTTCCAGTCACACTGCCCTGCATCGGTGTACTGATGGGAAGTTTCCATGCTCCCCTCTTTCTGTTCCCAGAGTCCCTGTGAGGCAAAGCTAGCACCTGCCGGGAAGCGCTGGGTGCTACAGGAGGCTTGTGTCCCTCTCATTCTCTCCTCATACATGCACAAACATACACATATATATATACACTGCTGTGTCTATATAGCAAATGAGAAATCAGAGTTTACAAAACATTAAAGGACAGAAATACTTGGATAAAAAGATAGAATATCTTTTACAGTCAAGTCTTCCATGTTTCTATATGTGATAGTGGGGACGAAGATTTGGGTCTCATGTGGGGAGGTTCAGCCCCCATGTGAGCCAGACCTGCATTTTTTGCAGCGTGTAATACTACTGACCAGCCAATTAAAAGCACATTGTTGTCAGTAGTGGGACCCTGTAACTAACAGTATCTTTGTTCTCCTTTTCTTCTAGCTTAAGCTATCGTAGTGTCCGCAACAATCTGAAGGAAATGCAAACATTTGTCTCAATAGCACAGAATGCCTGGGGAATATTTATATCCGAAAGGAAGCCTGGCTGGAAGTATCTGATGCAGCTTTTTGCAGTTTGCTCTGCAGTTGGCTTCCTCTCAAGCTTTCTCTTACTCCTTGGCACGCACTTCTCCCTGGCACACCACCCTTTGGGTCCCTTACTGATTTCTGGATTCATCTGGGTCTTCCTTTCTATCGCGCTCTCCTGTTTCAAGCACCTGCGCTGTTTTAGCATCCTGTTCCTTCTTTCTTGCGGACTGCAAAATGCTCTTATTACTGTTGGCACAGGCATCGTGGTGGCCGGCCACATCCAAAATATTTTTCACAACCTGAGGGTTCTGGCAGACAGTATAACCTGTCATTTGGAGTATGAGCAATTTGCCTTGATAAAATATTATGTTGAGGCAGTAAAGTGGATTTATGAGGTGGCCAAGCATTCCACTGAATTACCTAAAGGTATAGTGTTCCTAAGGCAGGAATTCACACCATCTTATTCCATTTCAAATGATGCATTAAAGCAAGAGCTAAATGACACAAAGCAAGAAATCCAGAGAGTTGCTAACCAGATATCTTTTATTCTGACAATACTGCCCTATATAGGTCAGAAAATATTGCCTATAGTGGGGATTTTTCTAGCTTCTTTTGGAACTGGCCTCTTTATGAAAAAATTCATGGGCTCTCAGAGTGCCAAATTTAAGAATACTTATATCACTAAACAGTTCATTGCATTTGATGAGCACCAAAAACAACAGAAAAGACTCTGCCTTCTGCCACTTAACAGAAAAGAAAGAAAAGATTATGTGACAATCCCATCTTTCTGCCTCACAAGAAAGGACAGAAAAAACATGCAGTATTTTTTTCTCCCTGTAATTATTCATCTTTGCATCTGGCTTCTGTTTGCTGCAGTAGATTATTTGTTTTATTGGTTAATTATTTCTGTGAATAAACATCTCCAAGAAGTACCGGATCTAGAGATTCAACTCAGCCTCTTCCAGCAAGTAAGTACTTATCAGTACTTCCTATTTCTTAGTTTAGTGTTGAAAAACTTCCCTTCATCTTCAGCAGCTGCAGGAGCAGAGGTACAGCCAATGAGCCATCAATTCTTTCATGGCATTATCATTTATTTTCTTTCAAAAAGGGTCATTGCCTTTACAGATACATATGTTGTACAGAACTAGATGGTTCTCCAAAATTTCTAGTGTCATCATATTTCTAGAGAATGGTAAATAAAGGAAGAAGAACTTCATTCCTCTATTTATATATGTGGAGAACACCAGAAGCTTAAAACTGGAAACTCCCAGTGCTGACATTTGCAAAGCACCACTTTTCCAGTCAAAATGCCACTGTGACACTGACATAAGAGATGACTACCTTTCTTTAGCTGATTATGTGAGGAGCTCATAATTTAAAAAAAGCATGGCTGTTTACATACAAAATAATAACACATTGCTGAACTCTCGAAGTTCTTCTAGCAAGAGCAGCAGTGGCATACAGAACCGTAGAGTAAATAGGTTGGAAGGGATGCCTGGATGCCATCTAGACCAACTTCAGAGTCAGGTCAGATTGCTCAGAGTCTTGTCTGCAAATAGTTCTAAGGTTAGAGACTTCACTGCTGGAGTGTGTGACCTGTGTGATGCTGTGCAAGCACTGCAAACCTGTCCAGTTTGATAGCTTGAATGATTAAGTGTAAGACAAATCCCAAAAGCATATAACCCTTTGATACTTTCAAGATGAAAATATTTCAAAGGTATGCTTGAGAGTTAGTACAATATGGTATATGCTCTTTCTTCTGTCCATCTTTTCTTACTCAGCATTTTCTATTACTTCCTCTTAGAGCTCATAATAACAAGAATTCATTCCCATTTCTCTGTCTCCTCCTCAACACCCAACCCACCCCCCCACCC